GCCTCTGCGGACAATGTGCATGTATTTCTAGCTGATTCATACGCCTTCACAATACCGAGGTGGCGAACGCCCCGTTAATCTAATGGAGCCGGGGTCGGTACTGCCTAGGCGCAGCGACGAGGATGCATGCCGCTCGCTTGAAGTGCACAGTGTTCCATTTCACTCTCTTGGCGACAGCCTCCACGACCTTCAACGCAAGCAGCGTCTAGGATCATCATCGCTATTATGCACTGTACCTGCTAGCGACTGCGAGCGAATGATGCCTACGATGCTCAGCGACGCTGAGGAGGCGCTCAGTGACACCAGCACGGCAGGTGCTATCGGACATTGTCCGATCCCAACGCTACTAGTCTTCCTATCACTGTACATAACAATGACCAGCAACTTGGGGAAGGCATGAACGAAGATTCCACCGCTTTCAACGATGTCCCAAACACGGCGGAGGAAAACACGTACATTGGTGCCTGCTTGAAGGTAGTCTGCAACAAGTGACGCGCCCGTAAACGTCACAGCTCTCGAAGCAGCTCAGCCCTCCCAACTGAATCAGAGAACCCTCAGGCCAACCGAGGATGAGTGCGACACAACGTTTACCTCTTCTTCCATTCAGAGATGAAAAGGTTGTTCTTCGTCCGCTTGGAGGCCTCAGATTGAATCTATGGCCCAGACCAACCTTGGCCACCGCACTTTGGGCCGCTGCTGGAGTGAGTCCGAATGACCGCAGAAACCTCATTCTATGAACCCGTCCAGAGCAATACTTTGCCGTCATAAGGACCCCATCATCACACGTCGCATACGCCCTTCTGAAGTCCAAGAGTTGTCACTCGGCCAGCGCACTTACCTTGTATTTGCATATCTGACAGCCCTCGACGATTTGTGCAAGGTTATTGTTCTGGGACTGGAACCAGGTACCACCTCACATATGTTGGTAGAGGAAGTGCAAGTGACTGGAATCCAGATACTACATGCTTGAATGATGGGTCAGACAAATATTGCACTCATCACTTTTGAAGGCCTTCGTCTGCCACGCCTCGTCTGCTTACTTGCAGTAGAGTTACGCTGCTACACCCACCGCCCCCGACACCAGGTCTGCAAAACGGACGTCACCACCCCACTCCGGACGTCACCGTTTGTGAGCAGTGCGGCGTCGACAATCCAAAGCCATCGCACCCGTGTTCTCCACGGTGAAAATCCTGTGGAGGGGATCATGCCACAGCTGCCCGCGACGCCAACAGCGTTTCAACAGGTCCTGGTTCAAAAAGCCATCCACAAGAAACAACGACAATCAATGAAACCCACCGATGAAGCTCCTTCACCATCGTCGACAGCTGATGTGTCTTTAACACCGCCGAAAAATAGTGGGCGGTCCCGTTCGAAGGCGCGGTCTACATCCCGCTCTAAGGCACGCACAAAATCAAAGTCCCGATCCCGCTCTCAGTCAACTTCACCAAGCATCCAGGCGAAGCGTCCGTCTATCCCGGCACCACAGGCATCCCCGTCACCCTACAAGAAGGCACTATTAGGCAAGCCGGCAACTACAGCCGCTGCCATGGAGCGTCATCAAGCACAGGCTTAGAAGACCAGCAAAGCCAAGGCGGCATCTCGAGAGGTAAACTGGGGGCAGTTCCGGACAGCTCAATAGTACGTCCCGCCCCCCCTCTACCCCTGAATACCAATTCCGACACTTTACCGAAAATCGCACCGCTACGCCGTGACATGGAAGTGCGTTACGCACAGATGCATGTGCAGCAATAGAGTGTACGAACGCTAGAATTCAAGCAGCTATAGAGTGTGCGAGGCAGGAGTTTCTAGCGCTTCGGCAGGAGATAATAGCCATTATACAGGCATCAGAGAAGCGCGCGCACTCCCTCTTCGCTAAGTTAGTCTCACGGTTTGAGTCCGTCGCTTCCCTACCAAATTCTCAAGCCGCACGGCCTCAGCCCCCACTCACAGGTGCAAGGGGGACGCACCCATACTCCCATCCGACCACTTCCTCTCACGATAATGATGGCATCCCTTAACCAGCAGCAAATCGTGGTATGGCAATGGAACTGCCGTGAATACCGACAAAAGAGGGGCTCCCTGCAACAGTACATTGCTATGTCCATTAACCAGATGCAATTCTCCTACAGGAGCCAAACTGCTCCCCTACTCTATCTGGTTTCAACTCTTTTGCAGGTAACTTTCCACTCGTTGGAGCCTTAGTTTCTAAAAACATCACATGCAACACTCACACTACAAGCGTCAATATTCCTCATCAAATCCTTGAAATTATCAACCAGGGCTAGAAAAGTTGCAGCTTCTATATATTCAGCGTGTATAGTTCTCCTCGCTCATGTACACACTCATTTCATCAACTCCTAATCAAATTTGGGCGTCTTGGACACACTCTTTTGTGCGCAGAGATTTCAACGCTGTGCACACAGTCTGGGGTTACCGCAAATCAGCAGCAAAAGGAACTAGGCTCTGGGACGATATATACAACTTGCGATACACTTTGCATACAGATGCCAGACACCTTACTCACATAGGGAACAGTGTCTCACAAGACACATGCCCCGACCTCACCTTTTCTAAAAACACAGGACCAGTAAATCACATGGTCCTCTTGACGAACTTCTTAGCAGTGACCACTGTATTTTGGCTACTATACCAACACTACACAATGCACGCTGTCCCGAGCGGAAGGTGCGTGTCACGGACTCAGTGTGGTTCAGAGAGCACTGAAGAAACCTTCCCAAAAGTCATAGTATGACAAATGGCTAGAGCCTATTTCTGATGACTAAAATGCGTGTACGCATAGTCTTTAGCCACAACCGCCAATCCAGACGTGGACCCAAACCTTCTGCATTTGTGGAAGGCGTGTAGAAGGCTCACGCGGCATCAGAAGCACCAAGGCCTCAACCGCAAGCTTCGTCAGGGTATTGACGAACTCTCGCAAGAGGCACAAGAATGCGCGCAGCACCTCGTCCGCAACAACTGGTGGCGTTTCTGCGAGCGTCTTTCAGGCACCCTGGGCACTGTGAAAACATGGTCAATAATTCGCACCCTTATAAATCTATACGCTACCAAAACACAGACTTTTCACCAACTAGATCGCTTAACACATATGCACAGCAACGATCCATCCGGCCTCCTCATAGAACTTCAATGAAGTTTCAACGCTACTGGTCCCATGCCAAAGTATCCTGACTATCCACACAAGGTGTAATCTAACGAGGAACTCCACACGGACGTAACGGTTGATGAAGTCATATCCATAGCCATGAAGCCATAGCCACAGAAAATCTGTAGCCTACGCACCTTACCTCATGCGTTGGAAAGTTAATGGAACACGTTCTCTTACGGTGTCTGCAGCCTTTCCTCAAGCGATAGTCATTCTTTTCGCACTCACAGTTCGGATTTCGGGCACATCTCTCTACGGAAACGTGCTTCTACAACTAAAGGACGAAGTTCTGGGCACTCCGTCGAGTGCCCAGACAACGGCCATCCTCGCCCTTGATTTAAAAAGAGAATTTGATAACGTGGCACAGGACTTGATCCTACAGAATCTAGCAGAGTCTGATTGTGGCAGCTGCATGCATAATTACATGCGTTATTTTCTGCATGACAGGACAGCTAGCATCGGGATAGGGCCTCACCATTCAGACACGATTCGCCATACATGTCGCGGCACTCCTCAGGGATCAGTTCTGTCCCCCATCCTGTTTAATATTGCCCTGGCAAGACTGCCAAAGCAGCTCGATCAGATCCCCGATGTCGCCCATGCAATTTACCCAGATGACATAACGATCTGGACGACGCGAGGCTCAGACGGGGCTATTCAGGATCGCCTTACAGCAGGCTGCCGACTTCGTTAAAACCTTTGCACGACAGTGCAGCTTGACCTGTACCCTTCGAAAATCTGAGCTTGTTATTATCCGGGCGTGTAGCATCACGCCGCCCCCTCAGATCGTCGGGCACGTGGATGGCGTTTCGGTCCCTCAGGTCGAGCGCATACTTGGCTATGCGCATACTTGAACGCGCATACTTGGCTTGCGCGTTCAAGCAAATGGAAGAGCGGACCACACTGTTTCTCTTTTGTCCCGACAAATTGAACAGATTCTCACCATAATATGACGGGTATCAATCAAGCTCAGTAGTATCGGTTACTTTTTTATTAAAACCTTTGAAACTTCTACATATGGTTACTAAAGACTAGGATAGCAACAGTTACTAAATGCTCTTAGCAACGACAAAGGTATTGACTGTTACCTCACTCGCTGTTACCAACTGCACTTACTAGCAGGGTTGTAACATATGTGACAAACCATTACTACTCCAAACTTTATAACTACCCTTTTTAAGAGTGTGTGTCCTCACCCACACTGATATTCTTGCTCCCGCCAGGAAGAGTTGCTGGTGCCAACTCTCGCTAGGGAACCTTTAAGCTACAGAGTAGTTTAAGCCAACTACAACTAATCCGCCGGACGAGCATGCGTCATGAGGCGAAAATCAGTTTAGTGGGGATGAGAGCATCACCATCAACTAAATTCGAAATATCTGTCCTGAATGTTTATTTTAACTGTTCCATTAACCCTCTGAGCAGCAGGCGCTTTTTTTTCTGTGGCATACATTGTCTTGTCTAGCTTGCCTTATTCCCTAGGCGTTTCGTGCATGATCCAGGTGATGTGTTTCTTTCTTGTGTTATGCACCAGCGGTGAGTGTTTGGGTTCGCCCCTTTTTAGGCCGCGTCTTTTTGTGCCAATCAATCAACCAGATATCGTGTTAAAATGAATTGGTGTAAAAAATCTGCTTGCATAATACTCTCCTTGGAAGCTTCTTTGCAATTCGCCATGGGGCTTTGGGAGTCACTCTTTAAGCTATGGTGCAGTCGTCACGAGTGCTTTTCCCAAAATATTCTTTTTTCCTTGGACACGTAGGTAATAACTATGATTGAGCACATATATAAGCAATGTGAAAGAAGCTGAAATCTTTGCACTGACGCCGTATTTCGTTCGCAGGGGAGGACCGCGTGGCCGAAGAGTTGCGTCGGCAGGTGCGAGTGCTGTGCTGGGTCATGACGCAGCCGCGTAACCACGCAAAGAAGGCGCGCCACGTGAAGGCGACATGGGGCCGCCGCTGCAACACGCTGCTCTTCATGAGTACACAGACGGACCCGCAGCTGCCTGCCGTGGCACTGAATGTGACCGAGTCACGGAACCACCTGTGGGCCAAGACGAAGGCGGCGTTCGACTACGTCGCGCGACACCACATGCATGACCACGACTGGTTCCTCAAGGCAGACGACGACACGTACGTGGTACTGGAAAACCTGCGGTACTTCCTGCATGGGAAGAACGCCTCCCAGGCTGTGTACTACGGCTGCCGCTTCAAGCCGTACGTCAAGCAGGGTTACATGAGTGGCGGCGCAGGCTACGTGCTCAGTCGCGAGGCGTTGCGCCGGCTGGCCCGACGGCGGCCGCAAGACGGCTGTCGCGCCGATGCTGGTGGTGCCGAAGATGTCGAGATGGGTCGATGTCTGCAGCGGCTTGGCGTTTCCGCGGGTGACTCGAGAGACGCAGTCGGCAGAAATCGCTTTTTCCCGCTCGTGCCCGAGAGCCACCTGATACCTGGGCAGATGCCCAAAGACTTCTGGTTCTGGTCCTACACCTACTACCCAGTCAAGGAGGTTCGTAGGCATCAAAGCTGTCCGTAATGCTTCTAGGGGTGGCATGATGCATTTAAACGTAGGAGCATCCGTCAGCACCACCTGTGGCCGAATGGCAACAACATTATTCTTTATTCTTTATTAAAAAAAAACCTTACAGGCCCCAGAACAGGGCATTGGGTAAGGGGGGGAGGAATCGGAATGGTACAGACAGGTAACGAACAGTTTACAGGCAGGATCAGTGTAAGAACAACGAAAAATATATATATATATATATATAAATGAGATCACATTTTAGGCTATACAGGGCGAGGTAAATTTGAGGGAATACAGCACTTGTTGATATGAACATGGCGACAGAGGGATACATTTTAAAATATAAAAAGACAAGGGGAATATAAATCACCGTTACGCAATGCACTCAGAATACAAAAACAGGGTCACATGGTGAACAGAGTGAGTAGCTGACGGCGAAATGTATCGGGATTAGATATGGAGGCTATGCAATCAGGGAGGTCATTCCAAAGACGAACGGCCCGAGGCAGTGGTGATGAATTGAATGCATTAGTTGACCCGTATATGCGCATGAAGCAAAACTGATTATGCAATCTGCGTGAAAAAGAGTGAGGTGTTTGAAGCTGAAGCCGCGTTCGTTTATTAGAGGTAATATATTTCTGGAACAGACAGAGAAGAGCAATATTGCGACGGCTATCCAATGACGGCAGCTGAAGGTCTGATTTAATTTGCGTTATGTTTGACGTGATGTCGTAGTTTCGTGATATGAAGCGGGCACCTCTATTTTGAATCCTTTCTACCATAATAATCAAGTAGTTTTGATGAGGAGACCAAATTGCTGAGGCGAATTCTGATATTGGCAGAATAAAGGTAAGAAAGGCTAGTTTTCGAATATTAGTAGGGGAATTTCTCAAGTTGCGGCTTAGGTAGCCCAGTGAACGTGATGCTTTGGCACAGGTAGACTCGATATGTGAGGCCCATGAAAGATTCTCTGTGAGAAGAACACCTAGGTATTTGTAGGAAGAAGTGTGGGAAAGTATGGTATTGTTCAAGTAATAGGAGAATTCAGAGTTTACGTGTTTACGGGTGAAAGACATTACCTCGCATTTTGTTAAGTTCAGTTTCATAAGCCACTTGTCGCACCAGTTACAAATATGGTTGAGATCTGCTTGAATGGTTAAGTGGTCATTACTGGAGTTTATAGAACGGTATATTATACAATCATCGGCAAATAGACGCATGCAAGAAGTAATCTCGGAGGGTAAGTCATTAATGTAGATTAAAAATAGTAAGGGCCCAAGGACGCTGCCTTGCGGTATGCCCGAACTAACAGAAGAAAAAGGGGACGCAAGATTGTTAACAACAGTGAACTGCTGTCGAAAAAAAATGAAGTTTCGAATCCAGGTTAATGTTAAAGAATCAAGTCGTAGAGCAGATAGCTTAGAGATTAGTCGGCAATGGGGTACACGATCAAAGGCTTTAGAAAAGTCAAGAAAGATACAGTCCGTTTGAAGGTTGCTGTTCATGTTTGAGTGTAAATCGGTGGTGAATTCAAACAGTGGCGTGTCACACGAAAATCCCTTTCTAAAACCATGCTGATTAGGAAAGAAAAAATTGTTCGTCCCGAGGTGATTGTACACGTGTGAACTGATTATGTGCTCAAGCATTTTGCAGGATATGCAAGTTAAAGATATGGGTCGATAGTTGTCAGGCGAGTGAACATCTCCAGTTTTGTGAATTGGTTTTATTTATCTTTCCTATTAACCAGTCGTCCGGTAGCATGCCAGATGTTAGAGATTGGTCAAAAATTTGGCATAATATTTTGCTTGATATGGGGAGGGTGTTCTTTAGTATCTTGGAATTAATGTTGTCAATACCGGCTGATGTGGATAATTTTAGGTTGTTAATGAGTGATCCAATGCCTCCAACAGTGACAGTAATGGGTTCCATATAGGCGGCGTCAAGTTCAGGAAAAGTAGGCACATTGTAAGAATCTTCCTGAGTGAAAACAGATGAGAAGAACCTGTTGAAAACAGAGGGGCAATCGGCGATAGGAATAGGTATTTTGTCAGTTCCATGTAAAGTAATAGTGTTAGTATCTCTGACCGGAGATATAGTTCGCCAAAATTTTTTTGGATTAGACTGAAGCAGGGACGGTAGGTCTTGCGAGCAATATTTATCTTTAGCTGAGGTTATTGCTGAGCAGTAGGTTTTCAAACAGTGTTTGTATGCCTGCCATGCCCCATCAGTGCGCAAGCGTTTAGCCCTGTTGTACAACCGTTTCTTCTTGTTTCGCAGTTTGCTAAGGGACTTGCTGAACCAGGGGCTTAATTTATCGTTGGTTATGGACACTAAGGGAACATTCTGATCGACTAGCGCTGTTAATTTATCCCTGTAGAGTACCCAGTTTTCATTTACGGATCGACAAATGAAAGTAGGTAGGAACTCTTTAAAAAAAATTGTTCTAGTTCTGTGTTAATGGCAGCGTAATTTCCTCTATTGTAATCGCGAATTCGTTTTGTTGTTTTGCCAGATACGGGCTTCGGGATGCTTAAATTAAGTTGGAGAAGGTTGTGGTCACTAAAACCGCTCACATTTGAAATTGAAAGTATTGTGTCAGGAGCGTTGGTGAATACCAAGTCCAGGGTATTGGAAGCACGGGTGGGTTCTTTGACAACTTGGAACAGGTTGAAATCCAACGTTAGATTTATTAGTTCTAGAGACGCTTGACATGAAAATGACATGTGTTCCCAGTCGATGAGAGGAAAATTAAAGTCATCAAGAAGATATACATGGTTAGATGGGCATGACTGAATGGCATGAGAGATGCTATCACGCAAGTCCCCCAAAAAGGAATGATCAGAATCTGGTGCACGTAACAAGCCCCAATTAATACCACACTAGATGACATAGACAAAGCTGCCCATACAATTTTGACGGAGGATTTCGAATCAATCCAATGCGAATGAAGCGTTTTCCTAATAGCAAGGAGTACGCCGCCACCGCGCCTATTTACGCGGTCGTTCCTATAAATTTTGTAAAGGTCGTTGTGAGGTAGTACTTCGTTATCTCTTATATCTGGATTCAACCATGTCTCCGTTAGTACTACTATATCTGAATCGCTATCATCAAGAAAAGAACAAAACGTGTCACGTTTGTGTAACAAGCTTCGGATGTTTGTGTACGCGACCGAGAGTGGAAAGGCTGCTTGGGGCACGAGATGCGGCGCGTGTGAGTTTAAGCTTACATCTAGCTATCTGAAAGATTGAGCAACTGTGTCATTAACGGCATCATACACATATACCTTCTTATCCAAGTGAAGCTTGTCAAGGACCAACTTGTACGGCTTGTCGAATGATCTGGCAAAAGCGACCAACTTTCTTCTGGCCACACGTGTTGATGGCGCAAAGTCTTCCCCAATCGAAAAAGTTGTTCCCTTAAGCTTACGAGCTGCAGACAAGATGCTCTGTTTGTCCCTGAATGAAGGTAATTTTGCTATAATGGGCCGTTTTTTTTTCAATGGAAAATTTGCCCAGGCGGTGTACAAGTTCATACTGCACACTTGTAGTGGCAAGTTCGAGTTTTTCTGCGCAGAATTTGATGACTTTTTCTTCAGACGCTGCCCAATTTTCTTTTTCGTTGTCCTCTAAACCAAAAAATATCACGTTGGAACGTCTTAATCTGTTTTCTGCATCGTTGCATCTGGAAGTTATTTGTTGTAGCTGACTTGAGATATCATGCAAGGCATTTTGAGAAGAAACTACTTCAGGGGAAGCTGGATCGATTGCACCGGTTTCAAGAGCAGTTACTTTCGCTATAAGATTCTGGATTTTTCCATTAGTAGTTGCTTGTTCCACCTTAATACCCTGAACATCAAGCAAAACAGACTTCAGTTCAGTACGCAGTTTCTCAATTGCCCCCAAAGCCGATTCGAAGGCAACACCCTCTGCCTTACTCATCAGGCCGGGGTTCGATTCAACATCGCCCGCCAGCAAGAGCAGCAAGTGAACAGGGGAAGAAGATATGCATAATGAACAATTCAAGATATGTTTTTTAACGCAAGACAACTCTAATGGGCACGACACCGCAATAAGGCAGTAATTGTTCGTTTTGTAACACACGGCAATATTTTCAAATACATGCACATATATACCGTTTGAAGTGGACGGGGTGATGACCGTCACCGTAGTACTGCTCCATGGGCGAGTTGGTGCATGATAAGCTGGTATTGCTTTTGCGCAGCCTAGTCTGAGTGTGAAGAAAAAAATACTATACAATCAAGAAAGGGAAAAAACAGAGGACAGCGTTGTACTGTCCTATGTATTTTTTCTTGACCCTATAACATCTTTACATTCTAACTGAGCTGCGCTGAAGCAATATCATTTTACCGTAGCTCAATGGTAGAACACCGGACGCATTATTCGAAGGTCGCACGTTCGGACCCTGCCAGTGGCAAGTTACCTTTTCGTGCTGTTGTCTTTCTTTACAATTACGTCACAATATTTTCAATTAACATTCTCTATACCTTCCTTGGCATTATAGCTGTTATTTCTCAATGTTAGGTAGTTACTCTCACAAAATATCGCATATTTAGACATTTTTAAGTATTACTTTTCTTACAATCTGCAGACAATGCTAGTTTACACATTGTTGCACATTAATTTTGTGTTGTAGATGTCTTTTTTGTAACGCTAATATTTGGGTGTTACATTGTCATAAACTGTTGAGAACGACGGGCAATGCGATTGGCCCCACCGTGTTGAATATGCTCCATATTTTCGCCTCATAATTTAAGTACCTAAAGAGACAAAAATGTTTTTTTCTGGATGTAAATATGCCTGTAATATAAGAAGTAAGAATACCAAAGCAATAAAAAAACTTGGTTGTGGTATGAGCGAGTGTAAAGTTAGAAAACGGCTGGAAAGCGAGCACAGTTTGTCACAAACACCGTTAAACTATTCTATTTAGTAATCAAAAGCTTGGTGATTATTTTCAGAGTCAATTTT